TAGAAAACTCAGTATTGTTAAGATACCAATTTTTCCCAAGTTGATCTATAGATTCAATGCCATCCCAATCAAAATCTCAGCAAGCTATTTTGTAGATATCAAAAAACTGATTTTAAAGTTTATATGAAAAGGCAAAAGACCCAGACTAGCCAAGTTGGAGGACTCACACCACCTGACTTTAAAACTTACTATAAAGCTTACAAATAACCAAGACAGTGTGGTACTGGTAAAAGAATAGACACACAGACCAACAGAACAGAATACAGAGCCCAGAAACAGGCCCACAAATACGTCAACTGATCTGTGATGAAGGAGCAAAGGCAATTCAATAAAGGATAGTCTTTTCAACAAATGGTGCTTGGAACAATAGGACATCTATGTGCAAAAACACGAATCTAGAGACATCTTACATCTTTCACAAAATTAACTCTAAATGTAAAATGCAAAACTACTAAACTTCTAGAAGAAATCATATGAGAAAATCTAGGTGACCCTGGGTTTGATGAGTTTTAGATACAATATCAAAAGCATAATCTATTAAAGAAAAAAATGATAACTCAAACTTTATGAAAAATTAAACACGTCTATTCTCCAAAAGACACTGTTAAAAGAATGAAAGCACAAGCCACTGACTGGAATAAAATATTTTCAAAACAAATATCTGGTAAAAGATTTGTATCTAAATTATACAAAAAAAAAAAAATGAGCAAAAGATTTCAACAGATACCTCACCAAAGAAGACATACAGATGGCAAATAAGCATATGAAAAGATGCTCAATATCTTCATCATTAAAACATTACAAATTAAAACAACAATGAAATACTACTATAAGATTACTAAAAATCCAAGAAAACGAAAATACCAGATGCTGGCAAAAATGCAGAATAATAGGAGTTCTCATTCATTGCTATTTGGAATGAATAACTGGTAGACACTTTGAAAGACAGTTTGGTGGGTTCTTGCAAAGGTGAAGTACCATGAAATCCAGCTAGTATTAATATTTATCCAACTAATTTGAAAACTTGTATGTACACAAAAACCTGCATACAGATGTTTATAGTAGCTTTATTTACAATTGTCAAAAACTGAAAGCAATCAGGAGGTCCTTAAAAAGGTGAACGGATAAACAAACTGATACAGCTATACAATGAAAAATTACTCAGCCATAAAAAGAAATGAGCTATTAAGCCATGAAAAGGCATGGAAGAACCTTAAATGCATTTTATTAAGTGAAAGAAGCCAGTCTAAACAGACCATATCAAGCATCATTCCAATTGTGTAACATTCTGGAAAGGGCTGAAGAGACAACAAAAAGATCAGTAGTTGCCAGGAGTTCAGGGAAAACAAGGATGGCTGAATTAAGTGTAGCCCTGGGGATCTTTAGGGCAGTGAAACTATTCTTTTAATATTTTAATGATGGATATATAACATTATATATTTATCAAAATTCATAGTATTTTACAGCATAAAGAATGAACCTACATGTACGCCAACTGAAAAAAATTATTTAGGAAACTGAAGGTTCCTAGTAAGGAGTGCAGACTGTGACAAGAAAATTAGAAAGGAAATAACCTCACTGAAGACAGTGGGCAGCAAAAGGGGCTGATCTAAGTAATTCTGGAAATGAGTGGAGTCTATAGACTAAAAGCAAAAGGAACCAGCCATAACCACTCTACTCTGGTTTAAAAAGTTGTTTCCTATAGGGCTACAGGTTAGCAATTCTGATAATGCTATACAATTGAACTGGAACGAACAATTGCATAAATGGATGGCAGAGTGGGAATTGATAGATAAGCAAGAAGAGGCCAGAATAATTCATGTGGTAATGGATTAGAGTTGAAGATACAGTATGAACTCATGTTTAGCTTGATACAGATGCAGGTGACTGCAAACAGAAATATTGGTATATATGTGCATCTACACAGGCTAGTATACACATATATTTCTTTAATGTGTCTTCTGAGAGGGACTAAAAGAAATGACATCCAA